TCAATAACATGTCTCCAGGTAGAATGGCAATGTGTTGCCTGTGTTTCAGCTCTTCTGTGGCACTGGGCATGGGATTCTGAGAACTGTGTTATGTAATAAAGTATAATTCAGAGAAGCAAACCTGCATGACTCACTGAGAAATGGTGCCGTCGTCTTAAAAACATTTTGGTGCAATATACATAGAGCAAATTTACCATTATAATTCCTTTAGTATGAACATTTATTTGACCATTTTACTTTTACCATAATACTGTGTATGGAACAAGTATACATTCTGCTCAGAACATTTCACTCAATTGCTTTTTCCCTCATACATGAATCCTAGTAAACATTTTTATGACTAGAATGAATATGTCCATGCATATAGGAGGATAGACTATGGCTTGACTCTGAATCTTATATACAGTGCATTCAGAAAGTGTTCAGACCCCCTTCACTTTTTTCAATTTTGCTATGATGCAGCCTGATTCTACAGTTGTTGAAATTTATTTTTTTCTCATTAATCTACACTCAGTACCCCATAACAACAAAATGAAAACAATTTTAGAAATGTCTAAATTTATTAAAAAGAAAACCTGAAATATCACATTGGCATAAGTATTCAGATCCATCACTCAGTACTTTGACAGCAGTTACAGCCTTGAATCTTTTTGGGTATGATGCGACAAGCTTTGCACACCTGGATTGGGGAATTTTCTGCCATTCTACCTTGCAAATCCTCTCAAGCTTAGTCAGGTTGGATGGCGACCATTGGCAGACAGCTATTTTCTGGTCCCTCCAGAGATGTTCAATAGGGTTCAAGTCAGGTCTCTGGCTGGGCCACTCTAGGACATTTGCAGAGTTGTCCGTAAACCACTCCTCTGTTGTTGTGGCTGTGTGTTTAGGATTGTTGTCATGTTGGAAAGTGAACCTTCAGCCCAGTCTGAGATCCTGAGTGCTGTGGAATAGGTTTTTATTGGGGATATCCCTGTACTTTGCTACATTCAGCTTTCCCTCAACCCTGACCAGTCTCCCAGTCCATGCTGCTGAAAAACACTCCCACAACATGATGCTGACGCTACCATGCTTCACTATTGGGATGATATTGGGCAGGAGATGAGTGGTGCCTGGTTTCCTCCAAACATTTAGAATTGAGGCCAAACAGTTCAATCTTGGTTTCATCAGACCAGAGAATCTTGTTTCTCACAGTCTGAGATTCCTTCACGTACTTTTTTGCAAACTCCAAGTGCGCTGTCATGTGTTTTGCACTGAGGAGAGGCTTCCATCTAGTCCCTCAGATCGGTGGAGGGCTGCAGTGATGTTTGTCCTTCTGGAACTCTGTCCCATCTCCACACAGGATCTTTGGAGCATAGAGTGACAATTGGGTTCTTGGTCACCTCTTACTAAGTCCCTTCTCCCCTGATTGCTCAGTTTGACTGGGCGACTAGCTCTTGGAACAGTCCTGGTTGTGACAAACTTCTTCCATTTGAGAATTATGGAAGCCACTGTGCTTAGGAACCTTCAGTGCAACAGAAATTTCCTTGTAGTCTTCCCCTATGCCTTGCAAATTTTGTAGTCTTCCTCTGTGTCTTGCAATAAGCCTCTGAGCTCTACAGTTTCTTTGATCTCATGGCTTTTGCTCTGCTACACTATGCTTTGTCAGCTGTGAGGCCTTCTATAGAGAGGTGTGTGCCTTTCCAAATAATGTCCAATCAATTCAACTTACCATAGGTGTAGAAACATGTCAGCAATGATCAAGAGAAATGGGAGGCACCTGAGCTAAATTTCAAGTGTTGAAAGGGTCTGAATACTTACGCCAATGTGATATTTCAGTTTTTCCTTTTTAATAATTTTACAGAAATTTCTAAAATTCTGTTTTCCCTGTTTTGTTATTATAGGGTACTGAGTGTAGATTAATGAGAAAAAAATAAATTTCAACAACTGTAGAATCAGGCTGCAGCACAACAAATTGACAAAAGTGAAGGGGGTCTGAATACTTTCTGAATGCACTGTACAAGGAAGAGAAGCTATTTTGACCTATTCCCAGTTTATCTTCTTCATTCTTGGAATTAAGAAACTGGTTATTTTTTCAAGTTAAAACCACTATAGCATCAAGTTTTGTATCTTCTAAACCTGAACTAATTCTGTGCTCTACAGACAACAACTCCCAAGTTCTTTGTACATAATAATGTTTGAAGAAGCAAAAGCCCATTCCTTGTTTTTAAAATAATCTGCAAGGGATCTTGAACTGAATATTTTTCTTCTTAAAAATGTCATAAAGTAAAAGAAGAGGTTCAATGTGTTATTACGGTGCTATAACTTGCAAGATGCTCTTTTTGTTTTTTATATACAGCTTTTCCTATTTTTTATTGTACTGTAAACTGATAGGTTGGAAGGAACTTGAAGGTCTTCTATTCAGCTCCCTTCCTAGAGTAGGAATCACCAGATAATCCTAGATAAATGGTTGTCCAATTTTTGTTTGAAAACCTGCAGAAATGGAGGACCCTTCAGGAAGGAGGATTTCCATTAACATCTTTTATTGTCAGGAAATTGCTCCTTATTTCAAATTTGATGCTGTCTCTATAAAACTTACACCCATTGACTCTGGTCATATTCTCAGGCAATACAGAAAATACATCTATACTTTCTTCCCTGTGACAGACCATTTCCAAGTATTGGAAGACTTTTATATCTCCCCTAGCTTTCTTCTCTTTAGGCCAAATATCCTAGTGCTTTTGTACACTTATCAGTTTTACAGGATGCCTAACCAAGCAAAATAATTTTTTGATTCTTTCCCCCTTTATATTCATCCAAATTCTTTCAGTAGGGTTTTCAACCAGAGCATCACAAACGTTCATATTGGTGTAATCATTCTTTATGTATAATGTGATAATTAATCCATTTCTCTTGCTGAGTTTCTTTTGAACAAATTGTATCCTTCCATTACTATAGCCCAGGGGTGTCAAACTTGCAGCGTCACGGCGGCGTCACATGAGGTATGGGGACTTTTTTCTCCTTCGCTAAACCGGGTGGGGGCGGAGCCAGCACGTGACGCATCCGGCCCACTCTCTACCAATCATGAATTCCATCCCTTGATTTCCATGACTTATAATGTAATGAGTTTATCTTTCTCTCTGATTGTCAAATACACATGCTCTGAAATTGCCTCCCAATCTCATCATTTAAATAATCTGTATGATTTTCATTTTTTATATTTCATTTTTCCATTTTTCATAGCTGCTCTGAGTAAGTAGAAAGGCAATAACTCATTAAATAACCAACTAAATAGATGTATGATATAGCATGGTCTAGTTGCTGCACAGCAAAATCTCTTTTCTGTGTAGGGGGTCATTTAGATTTTAAGAAAGCATTTCCTGGGAGTATTGGGCAAGGCAGGTTCCATCACTGGAGTGGAAAGTGCTCATGATAAGGGGGAATTGCCCCATAAATAGCACAAAAGCAGATCTGGAACAGATAGAAGATATATGCAGCTGACATCTTGTTAATTTGCCTTTCCAAATAAAAAAACAGGTAAACCTAAAATCTTTTTTCTACTTCAAGGAAGTTAATAGCAAATCACGTCCATATTGTTGCCAGGAAAAATATAGAGTAGTCATGAAGATTCCAGCTAACAGAACAACTGAATAATCTAAGAACCTGGGATCATAGAATGGTGTGTTTGTGGCAAATCAGATGATTAGGCTTGTTTATTCACAGTTGCCCAATCTTCAGGCCAGTTATTGATACTTTAGAGAGAGTATTCTAGGACAGCCAAGAGGTCATTCCTTTTTTTCCAGTGTCTATATAAATCTTTGGTTAACTGGAACCTCAGGATATATTACTTAATTGGAAGCTCAGGATGCATAGAATGGAGTTAAGTGATTGTTAGTGTTAAATCTTTTAAATAATAAGCTATTACCTTCTTATTGTAAGCTGCCATATGAATGTATCCAGCCTTTCCAGTGTATCTCTGCTCCAGGATTCTAAATCATTTTGGAAATGAATCAGCAGCTTGTTAAGCTAATTATATTACCACACTAACTGGATAGTTGTACAAGTTAAATACTGGAAGCATAACCAAAGCAGGGAGGTGTTCTCTACTGGATGCTTTTATTCCTACCTGGATTGACAACATACTTAACAGTAAGTTTGCTTCACCCTGGTGTTTTGACAGTAGAATCCTCCCCTCCCCAGGTTGCCATGTTAAGAGTCTTAATTTATCTTCTGGTTAGTAAAATGGCAGTCCTTGCAGGATTAACAGATTAACAGAGTTGGAAGGAACCTTGTAGCCATCTAGTCCAATCCCCCCAGTCCAATCTCTTCTTGAAAGCCTCCAGTAATGAAACTCCCACAACTTCTGAAGACAAGCCCGTTCCATTGGTTGATTCTTCTCACTGTCAGAAAAATTATCCTTATTTCTAGGTTGAATCTCTCCTTGATCAGTTTCCATCCATTATTCCTTGCCTGTCCTTCAGGTTCTTTGGAAAACAGGTTGACCTCCTCCTCTCTGTGACAGCCAAATATTGGAACACTGCTATCATGTCTCCCCTGGTCCTTCTCTTCACTAGACTAGCCATGCCCAGTTCCTGCAACCGTTCTTTATATGTTTTAGCCTCCAGTCCCCAATCATCTTTGTTGCTCTTCTCTGCACTGTTTCTAGAGTTTCAACATCTTTTTTATAGTGTGACCAAAACTGGATGCAGTATGATAATGGCGGAGCTGAACCTACTTAACATAGTGAGACAAGTGTTTCATTGTTTTGTTTGATTTCTATAGCTGTTCATCTCAGCAAATGACTCTCGGTGGCTCACAATTGTTAATTCATCTGTTCAATCTTCTGTATGAATCTGGCCTGTATATGTTACATAGTGAAATATATACGTAGGGACAGCACCTGCTCACAGGATCATTCTTGGGAATTGCTTTGAATTGAACATCAGCTATGATGAGGCACACTAAATAGGCTTTTATGTGCAATTCTGTCCATGTGGTTGTGTGAAAATCAGCTGATTTGGGGATAATTTATTATTTGAAAATTTATTGAACAGATTTGCTACAACAAAGTGTTAAAAACTGAAATATTTCACTTTTAAGTGTGTTTCGTTAGAATATTCCCAATTATTCCAAATATGCAAAATTGACTCTTGGTGGCTGTATGCATACATTAGTAATGATTTTGGCAACAATACAGTGAGGGTTGCTATTACTATTTTCCAGATAAAGAGATAGATACAAACACTTTACATTTCCCAATCTTGTCTACAGACCTGCTGTATCTTGATAGTTCCTTCCTGCAGAATTATTCAAGTGAGCAGAAACTGTCCTCTATATTGAGATTTTATTTTTAGTTTCACTGAAAACTTTTAATGATAACTCATTTGCTAAAAGTCTTTTTCGTACTGTTGATTATATTGCAATGTAAAGAATGCATTCATGATCATGTAGCTTCACATTTCATGCTAAGAGTAATGAATGTAATGGGGTTTGCCTTTAGCACATTTTGTAGTGCTGACTGCTTCCATTAGATAAGAGATGCTTATATAAAAATTCAAACAAATGACTTAGCTGATAGAGGTTTCATGGAATAATTGAATTCTGTGTGGTTATCTTCTCTTAAAATATCTTAGACCCAAGGGTTACAAAAGACCTTTGCTTGGAGAACCACTAAAGTAAATGATCTGATATGTTGTAATAGGAAGGGTTACAGTGACATCTTCATTTTGTTTTTAAATGGATACGTAAGAAGTATGTGTTAAATTGCATTTAAAGTCATATTTTAAAAGCCCCCTTTTCTCTTTATTGTGCCAAAGTGAATGAAGTAAATTTTTACAGAACGTTGCAATGAAACATACCTCTTTATATGTTTTGGTTTTAAGGGAAGCGTGCCTTTAACTGTTTAGCATGCAAAACACTTGCAACTGTAGGAAGGATGTGGATTTTTAGGAAGATAAAGGGCAAGTGCTTTCATTGACTCTATTAGCTTTTCAGTAGTATATATTTATGCCATTTTGGAAAATGAGCAAATATTCCTCTAGTTCTACATAATTACCAGAGAATATGGCAATAGAAAAAAAAAATAGTGAAGCCAGCCATTCCTCAACTAAATATACATATAGATGACAGGCACACCAATCCTGAACTACAAGTGCAGGGATTAGATGATAATTGAATAAAATGTATCTGTTAGTAGGAAAATGTTTTAATATGCATAATTAGATTCATAGGCAGCAAAAAGTGAGACCCAGTGTGATGTTATGTTCTAGGTCAGGGGTAGGTAACCCTCAGCTCTGGAGCCGCATGTGGCTCTTTCATCCCTCTGCTGTGGCTCCCTGTTGCCGGTCGGTGGCACAATTTTGAGAGGAGCTTCTGGTTGGGGGAGGGGCAGGGAAGCATGGCGTGCCAGGAGGAGACTTTATGGCAAGAGGCGGGTTTTCTGGTCGGCTCCACAATTGATAGGGCTTTTGGTTAGGACAGGTAGAGGAAAAACGATGTCGCGCTAGGTGGAGAATCTATGGTGGGGGAACTGGATTTCCGGTCGGCTGCAGAATTGAACGGGGAGGGGGGGGGCATCCGGTTAGGATTTTGTGGCTCTTTGAGTGCTTAAGGTTGCCAACCCCTGTTCTAGGTATTGGAGTAGAGACACCCAGAAAAGCTCATTCTGGGTGACTTTGAGCCAATTTCTCTTTCTCAGTCCAGGCTATCTCACAATCTACCTTATCATGGGAGAAATTGGAGGAAAGGATGCTTTCCTTGAGTTCCTGGAAGAAAGGCAGGCCACAGCTAGATGCACAGGCAAGTACTAATAAATCCTACTTCTGTGTGAAGTATATAGTTGTTGGTCTTATAACTTGAATTGCACAGTATTATCTTTATGGTAGATGATTTTGTCTTTGTACAAGGCACATGATTATTTACATAAATCTGGAGAAGAATGCTTTAAAGATAATTTTGGTTCCTGTATGTTCAGTTAGTTTTACCTAATTTCCCATACCTTTAAATTCTTAGGTTGTATGCAAATACACAAATGTCTATTATTTACTGCAAATTAAATATGTACACGGGGATGAATGGAACAAATAAGATCAGAGATACTGTAGTGACATGCTGACTAATGAGAGATAAGTAAGGCAAATACAAAGAAACAGTTGTATATCGCCAAGACATTCCTATCCATGTAATATATCAGCAGGTTTATGCAGAAGCTGCTTGTTATAAAATTAAACAAAGAATTAAAAAGCATTGGGTTGTTTTGCAGGAAAGTTTGTATTCTTGGGCAACTAGCTATTCAGTTTCCAGACAGTTTCTGTCTGAAATTGCAGAGGTCCTTGGTTTAACTTTGCATCTTCCTTTTTGCACCATCCTTTCCAAATGACCTGACATTGGCCACCTACTGATCTTAAGGCATATTTATATGTGTCACCAGTCTAGTGATGTTGCCTGGCTGGTATGACCAGTTCCTCCAATCACTCTCCACCCATACACCCATACACATTTTCAACCACAATTTTTTGCTTTCCAAGAAGTTAGTGGCTGGCTCAGGTTGCCACTGCTCTTGCACAAATTTTGTGTGTTTCAGGAAACAGAAGTGATTGGAGCCTCTGGCAAAGTTAACATATGGAGAACTTGATATTTTATATCTAAGCAGGTCAGAAAATGTGGCTTGCCCTGAAGCAATTTGTGTAATTAATGAATACAAAATAGAGTGCAGCAGCTAACAATTTTACAGGTTGTACCTTCATTGCCTGCCTCTGCATAGATCCAAAACATTACCGGCAACTGGCACTGGGAAATGATTGACAGCTGCCAGGGCTTTTTGTCAATTGAGAAGCCAAGTTAAGAGGACTCATTCTTTTGTTTCTACTTCTCTCAACCTACTGGTTTTATTATTTGATCTTTCATCCTGAGAGTTTTGAGCCATATTAGTGCATGCTCAAAAGCAGTGACAGTAGTTGATAAGTCAAAGCGTGAAAGATATCAAGGTGAAGCTTTAACACTCAGTGACGGGGAAGCCTGGCTCTGGCATGTATTAAGGAGTCTTTAGTGAGCTTGTTAGCAATTTAAGGAACTGTCTGAATCTTCTTATATTCCTGGGTTAAAATAATCACATGATGATGGATCTTTTAGGAAGCGCCTTGCAGTGCTGGTGTCTCTATTTTATATCTGTCCCACAACTCCTGCTGGCTATTCAGAGTTGTAGAAGTTATGATGGCTGTGGTTATATTGGTCCTCATCATCTCCAATTACAGGATAGGCAGGCGTGAGACAATACTTGGAGTCATAGACTTGCCGCGGCAGCCCATACACAGTCATGCCTTGCTGTGAGGCTCCTTTGTTGCTGCCCATTTGCAGGGAGATATTCTGGGTGTCACAGTGCTCCATGCCAAGGGTGGGCTCAAAGATTTGTCTCTTGGTTCCAGGAGCTGTCATGCCCGCCTGAGGTGGGTGCAGTAGAGGAAAAAAGGGGAAGAATAGAAAAGTAAAAAGCAGTTACTTGGAGAAAGTGTGAAAAGATTGGAATAATTGATAAATGACCACACATATATACCTGCCAGTTAGTATTTAGTATTTAACCTTTGTGTTGAAGAAAATACGCTACCCAAGAAAAATAATTTGACTCTCTGCCTTGTAAGATATTTATTTTCTAATTGATATATCTCAGAATGGAGTAATTGGCTTTCTAGCATACCTCAACAATTTCTTTATCTTGATTTTTGAGAGCTAAAAATCTCTTTTGAGATTTGAGGTGCCTAATTTCTACACTACTCTTAGAGGAAAGAACAAGCGATGACTTGTTTACACCAAATATATCTTGAGATAATAGTGTTTGCCTCAGTTCACATGTTTTCAGAGACCAAAATCCAAAGAATCATGTGCTCCCAAATTAAATGTTGATGTACAAACAGGAACAGGGACCTTGTGTTTGGAAGAATTTGAGAGTTTTTTTTTTTTTTTTTTTGTGAGACCTAAACACAAGCTACATAAAAGTGTTCTAGATATAGTTACCTAGTTTCACACAGTGACAATGTATGTCTGAAACCCTTAGGAATGTCCCAGCTATGTAGACATATGGCTACCTCTGAAGTACTTCAGAGTCAAAGGCAAACAGTCTTTGGAGCATGCAGTGGCATGAACATAGCACCTGTCCGACTTCTTAAAGCAGCTGCACTGAAGTTGCTGTGTGGTTGCTGCATACAACTTGAAGAGTTGTGAATAGGATTCATATGCCTTGAAGTACCTATTTGTCTTCAATCTGAAGAGCCTAGTATTATCTGAGTAAGCATACTGAAATATACAGAAACTTCAAAGAAGGAATTTATCCTTTGTTTCTACATGGAGATTATACTATGATAGAAGCAGTGTATCTGCTATTGTACAAGCAGTTGTGGTAATCCTACTAGTCAATAAATTGTTGGTGTTCCAGTGGAAGAATAAGGAGGAAAACAGGTAAGAGTATCAAAATCATCTCAGTAACCCATTTTTTTTTCATTCACATTTCTTACCTGGCTAGCCCCCTTGTTGGTTCCCATTTGTAGACTGATTGTGGCCTGATCTAGAGGTTGGTCTGCACCCAACTTTGGATCATAGAGGTGTCGACGTGTGCCATATGCTGTCATACCTTGCTGGCTGGCAAACTTGTTGGTGCCCATCTAAGAAGAATGCAGTATTGACAATTAGACTCATCATTCTCTTTTTGCCAAGTTTCTATTTCATATACTGTATTGGTTAAAAACTTTCTCTTCATTCTGTCACTTAGATTTTTTCTCCATTTTCTCCCTAGTGATTTATATCATGCAGCATTACTCAGCCATGACTGGTAACAAAACATTCCATATGAAGACAGCTTTATGGTATCACTATAAATCACAAGTGAAGAACTGGTCCTTTTCATGTCTTCTGTCTCCCTTACCTACTCGGCAGTGATTTTAATGCAGGAAAACTCAGTTCAAAGCACTGACATTCCTAGAGATAATTTTTTGAGAACAAACTGGCAAAAATCACATTGGCAAATATAATACTTAGACAACAAGATGCCAGTTTTAATGAGTAAGGTATAAAATGGAACTGAGGTCAGTTCACCCACAGACTTTGCACCATTTCTGAATTTTTTCCAGAATTGAATCTCCTATGCTGCTGTCTTTACCCACCAGTTGAGCCTGTTAATTTGTAGCTTGGCTGCAGTGTAAAATACTGATATGTTTCCAGTAATGAAGCTTGGAAGAGTTTGTGAGTGGTCTGTTTTCAATCTGTTCGCAAAAATTCTTGCCATTTCCCAGCTTCAGAGCTGGCATAGCATCAATGTCATCTCAACTGGGGGCCAGGTGGAGTCAGAATGATGAAAATAGCACCACATTGCAAGCCCATTACTTTTGTACATGCATTATAATGTTACATATTTCAAAGTGGTGGAGCCTACAAAACAAAATAACTTTCAATTCTGCAGATTCCATTGATATTCACTTAGCCCTTAAACAGAAGTGACCTGAGAGTTTTACAGGCATATCTTTACAGCAACTGCTCCTATATTTTTGGTGCATATCACAGCAACAAAAAATCTACTGATTCCAGTACTATTACTATGCAGTAAATTGTTTTGATTCCCTGCACATAATAATTCAGATGAAAAGAGCTCATGTGAATTTGACTATGTTTTCTTCCCTTAAGCAGTGGGCTCAAACCATGCTTACTGCTGCTTGGGATTATTTTGTTTTGCTCCCTCCCCCCCTTTCCCCCCCCTCCTGGATGTGTCTATTTTGGAGAAGAAATTGATTTTCTAACAGTGTATTTTCTTTCCCTACAATGTAAGATGGGAGAAAGGGAATTTCTATTGCTTCTCTCTCCCTTGCAATTTTCAGTGTTTAGTTCATGGTTCTCATCAGCATTTTTTTACTGGCTAATGCACACCTGGCTGATCCATATGTATGCATCTTGCTGTATTAGTCTGCATCTAATGAGCTAAGAATAGCAGACACACTGGTTTGGCACCATTTTTATCTCCTCTGCAATTAATTGACTGGAGGAAGTGTTGCTTAGTTCTTGGTACTTCAAAGCTGACTGTGGTGAGAAACATTGCAGATCAATCTCAAACTGTTTCAGGACATTTGGGCAGAAGGATGAAAGCTCTCATGTGGAAGTACCATGGTAATTATGTATTTGGCCACAGTACACATTTGCACAAAGAAACTAATTTTGAAGGTATAGCAAGGTATACTAAATTGTTTGCTACAGACAATGATATAAAATATCTGTATCTTAGGGAAACAGTTGCTATGACCGAAGCCACACACCTGCAATCCAATGATGTTCCGTCCTTCTTTCAGCTTTTCAGGCAGGAATTTCCGCTGTTGTTTTTCGGCATATTTCACTCCAACATTCACCCTGTTGCCTTTTGTCTTTGCCTGTGTTGTGACAATCAGAAATCCTTTCAGATGTTTCTCTCAGGTATTTTGCCAGAATGAGGCTGGTCTGTTTTGCAGTGGAGTTGAGAGCAACAGGAAGTTTTCCCCTGCCCCAGACCTCCTAGTTATTTCATTTCAAATTGGATCAAAAACCCTGGACTCAGTGTTTAGATCTGCAAGTGATTTCCTTGAGATATCATTTCTGTGATGCCAAACTGAAATCTCAGCACCTTCCTTCTGAGTGTGTAAAATTAGGCTGAGCATATATGGATGTGCAAAAAGAAAGGGTTCTATGTACTTCTATAATTTAGGGTTTACTGCTAGCATGTAAAATTCTGGGAAGGAGTCTTGGTAGAAATTAACTGAATATACTGAAAAAAGGTTCCTCCTGCCCATCAATATAACTCTTCTGATGGAAGATTTATAGACCAATAAGGGATATTGTAGATCAGAGGCCGTATAACAGGTATTTTCTTCTAGTAGTGAAGAGTTAGCTATGAGATTGTCATTCTAAATGTAATCTGAGGCCACATTGATCTTGGCCACCACTCACATTTCAATATGGTGATTGGGTTATACAATATTATATTATTGGGGTGATATCTATATGTGATATCTATCACATTCATGCTATCGTATAGGGTTCACTGAAGAAAAAATGAGCAAAAACAACTTACCATGCTAGCTAAAGCAATCAGGGTGGACTGGACCTGGGTATAGTTTGTATTTTCAAAGAGATCATTTGCTTCAAAAATGTCGTGGGGTTTTACGCCATATCTTGTGATAGCCTTAATAAAGTTGCCAATGTTTTCCAGCTGCAAAACAGGAGTCAAATAATCATTTACAATCATTGAGCATTTTCCATTTAGTGCTTCCCCTAAAAAGTGGATGGTGGAATCTTCTCCAGTATGGCATGTAACTGTAATTCCAGCACGTCTGAAAAGCATTATGGTAGGGAACACTGATTTAGTACTGTCTCAAAGCTCAAGGGGAAAAATTACAGCCATCTTCTTAATGCATCACAAGTGCAATGGTGGAAGCATAAGGACTACATGAGGACTCTTCTAATAATGAGTGGATTCATGAGCCAGAAGTGCTTCCTTCACTTTTTACAGTCAGCAAAGATGTAGCAGTTAGTAAAAAGATAGGAAAGTAGAAAGATAAATATTATTCTGCCCTGTTTGGTAATTGCTCTGTGCCTCTAAATATCTACTATCAGAACAGCCACACAACATATACTGTAGGACCCCAACCCCCGGTCCGTGGACTGGCATCAGGCTGCAGCATGCCAGAAACCGGGCCATGCAAACAAGCAAAGCCCCATCCATGAGATGCAGGCAGCATGTGAAAACACACCCCTTCTGGTCCGCAGAAAAAAAACTCCACAGAACTGGTCCCTGGTGCCAAAAAGTTGGGGGCCACTGATGTACTGCATAGCAGAGCTCTGGCAGTAAAAGCTGCTTTTGAGAGGGAACATTTGGATCAAAGAATCAGGGAAGGGAATTCCTTTCCTCATTGCCCAGTTTTCATACTCCCAAATACATCAGCCAGTCTCACCTACAATATTTGGCTGCATATTTTTGCTCATTAGGTTTTGAAATTGAATTTCACTATCAGAAATTTTCTCCTTATTTCTAGGTTGACTCTCTCCTTGATCAGTTTCCATCCATTATTCCTTGTCTGGCCTTTAGGTGCCTTGGAAAATAGCTTGACCCCCTTCCTCTTTGTGGCAGCCCCTCAAATATTGGAAAGTTATTTACTGTGTAGTAAAGAGAAAAGCTCAGCTATTTCCTGCTGCCATAATGCTAATCTCTCATGTACCTTAGTAAAAGTTTCTTAATAATATAAAGGTAGCACTGATCTGGACATAGTAAGAGAGAATGGTACCTGATGCCAGTTCTGGGTGGACTCATTCACTTTCCTTACAGATCCAGGTTGGAGTTTGTTGATAAGTCTGAAAGAGAGGGGGAGAGGAAAGTTTTATTGCAAGGTGTTTATTTCTTCAGCATCAATATACGATTTCTGCGTGTTTACTTTGATGGAAGAATGCCATGTAATTCAGAAGTGGCAACCTGTATGCTTTTTCTTTCTGAAAAGTTCTCTCTAAACAAAAATACTTATGTGCCCATGGAATGTACTCAAGAAGTGGTCAGTTAGAAGAAAATTGCTGTATTTTTTTTCTAACTTCAAAAAAGACCCAGCGCAGCTCAGTAATCTTAGTTTTAAAACCCACACATCCACTATAAATTAATTGTATTAAGGATGCAGATTCTCCAAGCTCCTAATTAATTGGTCTTCAAAAAAATAGTGTCTTTATCAGTTTAGGTGGTGTGTTCAGTCATGATTCTTGGTATGGAGATTGAATGGAATTAAGGGATTAAAATTAAATTAAGGGATGTGGTTCAGTGATACTGCAAATATTTTGAGATTGCTTTGGCCACATAGAGCTGGCATTGCAGTCTTATACCTGTGTGTACAAATATTGGTTACATTTAAATTGTTTAATATTCATAGTAATAAAAAATGCAGTATAATGGAAACAGGAAAATGATCTGCTTTTCGGCCAGTTGGCTGAGATGGTAAATAAAGTTGCCAGATAACCAGGAAAAAAATCCATCTTTGTTGCATTTCATTATGTCTAAACCACCAAAAGCAATGTGTTTCAATCCCCTTTAAATTCGATTAAATTTAAAGCATCCTTGAGTTATTCCAATACTTGGGATTGGGGGAACATATTTAGGGATCAAAACTTTGAATACAGGGGAGACATTAGATTTCTTTATTTCCTTTTAAAGTAATTTTAGTAGGTATTTAGGGTATTAAATCTTGTTTTATTATCCAGGTTTCTTTTCAAATTATCTATAATAAATCATTCACGGTCTTTGGTATTGATGAATCCTTGGCAGGATGAACTGTAAATCTAAATAAAAATGTCCCTCAACAATCATGTTTAATGAGGTTTTCTTAAAAAAAGAGATAATATTTCTCCCCCCCCATAGAGTATATCTGAAAATGCCCATCTAGAAAACGATAGTCATTAAAATTTTAATTTGAATGAAAACAGCTAATGCTGTGAAGCCAGAGGAAAGTATGCAAACATTTCCTTTTCTTAATAAGTTAAGCATATTAGTCCAAGTCCTTTGTCAGCTAATTAATGCTAGTCTAAACTAGCAGTAAGCCTTTGTCCATCCTCAATCTTTGGGGAACAAGCTTCCCCCTCCTTCTGTGTTGTCTTACTCGCACAGGATGACTCCATCTTTCAGACTTTCCATGAAGTTGTCTCCAATGCGCTTCCCTGTTGCTTCCTCAATCCATTGTCGCAATTCAAGTTCCCGCTGGGGATCATATTTCTGTGCTAGCTGCAGAAAGAAATGATGTATTTTGGAATATTTAACCAAGGAATAAACAAAGATTCATTCACAAGCATGATGTAATGCCTTCTCTTTGATGGAGTTTATTACTTCTGAGAATTACATACAAGAATTTAAGAGTGTAATTAATACTATAATAATTATAGTCCAGAACTGTTCATATTCATAAATGAGGAAACAGAAAATACATGAAAAGCAGTAATAGATTGATATTGGATTGTATTTAAGCTTAAATGTAGTAGAATACTGATTTCAAGAAGAGAGGTTTATCTGGTTAAAATACATTTTGAAATAATAAAGCTGTTAATGTATTACACATCAGAATAACAAGAACCATCATAATAAAAAACATATTCATTTAAAATCTAGATATTTTCAAGACTTGGCTCCAGATGTAAACTTCAAAAAGGGAATACCATATCTGGATGCTTGTAAAGAAAACATTTTACAATTTATTGCTAGTGAATTCTTGGCAAATGTCATGTAATCCAGTGGGCATCCCTTGTAAACCTTAATAACTGGCTACTATGTAAGAGAATATATCCAGCAGACATTTAGGGCCTATAATTGGATAAAACTTTATATCAGCATGGACATCTCGAATATAGGTGGTGCTTTAACTACCATGACATCAACTGGGAGACAAATTCTGCACCACAAGTGGAAGGTCAAACAGGTTCCTGACAAATGTAGCAGACCACTTTGTCTCCCAAAAAGACAAAGAGAAGGGAACTAGGTGATCAGCTATATTGGACTTAATTCTCACTAACAGAGATGAAATGATAGAAGGTGTTGAATTTACAGGAACCTTGCAGGGGGATGATCATGCAATATTGGAATTCAATATTATACAAGCACAAGCAATAGAACAATAGAACAAATTCAAACTAGAGTCTTGGGTTTTAAAAGAGTTAATTTCAATAAACTTAGAGCTTGGGAAGGATTCCATGGATGAGAATCCTTAAGGTAAAAACAAGAAGGTTGGGAAATTTTGAAAAGTGGAAGCCCAGTCTGGCACAATACCAATGAAGAAGAAAAATAACGGGGCTATGTCTAGTGTAATGAAAAGAAGGACTAGACATGATAGCAGTGTTCCAATATTTAAGAGGCTGCCACAAAGAGGTTGTCAACCTGTTCTTGAAGGCACCTGAAGGCAGCACAAGAAGCAATGGATGGAAACTAATCAAGGAGAGAAGTAACCCAGAAGAAATTTCCAGACAATTGGAACAATTAATCAGTGGAACAACTTGCCTCCAGAAGTTGTGAATGCTCCAATATTGGAAGGTTTTAAGAAGAGATTGGACAATCATTTGTCTGAAATGGTTTAGGGTCTCCTGCCTGAGCAAGGAGTTGGACTAGATGACTTCCAAGGTCCCTTCCAACTGTTATTCTATTCTACAGCTCAGCAGTTCATTAGCAGTCAGTGCTTCTCTTTCAGAGAAGTTTACAATAAATTGCTCCCCTTCAGCATTTTTAGCTATGATGCTGCAGTTTCCCGACCAATCTCAGAAGCAGGCCATGTGTGCACATTGAAAGAAATGTATGTTCAATGTGGTCACTAAAGCTCTGCACCCTCCAGAAATAATCCGAATGATTTTTTTCAGACCTTATACAAGCATGTCGCCTCTCATTCATTCATCAGAGCAGTCAATCTTTTTTTTTCCAGGCATCTGCATGAGCCTGAAATAAAAGTTAACAGTTGCTTTAAGAATTACATAGATTTTTAATGGGACTGGCAAGTTTTTTCAGGGACTGGCAAAAGATGGGCTGTTTTAAGGAATAGCTGCACCTTTGTGGAGCCCAAAACATTTATTCCAAGCTTTACTAAAGAGTGCACTGCATTACTGGCTAGGCCACTCTCCTGTCCAGGACCAGCCACAGCCATGAGTGATAAGAGCTGGAAAAAAGTTGTCCTTGCTATGGAAGCCAGCTGTGCCTAAGTAGCTTTCAAAGCTTTGAACCTGCAACATCATGGAATCTTTCCTAATTCCCAGGCAAGAATCTGCCAGAATTCAACTTAAGGGTTTTTTTTCCCTCTAGGCAGCAGTTAAGTGGTGCACACGCTTGCCAGACTTGAATGTTATGAATAGATTTGATCAGAATACTGATTTAGTCATGATTTGCAGCTCTGAGAATTTCAGTTCTTTCATTCTTAAGTGAAATGAAGTCTTGGATCCAATCCAAAGTTTTAAAATGACTGCTGACAAGGTCAAAAGATATCTTTTCCCCCTCAAATCTCACCGCCACCATATGTTAACTACAGTTATTTGCACATTCTAAAAATTAAAAGCTAGTAGTAATTATTACAATGGATTAAATGAGGAAAGACTAAATAAAACATCTAATAGAATTTTAAAACTACCCTTTATCAAAGTAAAGTTCAGTTTGTTGGTAAAAGCGTATGTGTTGAACTTTACATTGGAAACAATGCTTTGTGAAGGACGGAGATTTAATAAATCAGAGATATCTCATCCTGGCTTTAAAAAACACTCCATTTTGCATTGATTTTGAAGTTTGTATATTGTGGAGCAAAAATTATTTTACTGATCTGAAAAAAAGGAAGGGCAAAATAGACACAGAATAAGATCTTGTCTTATTTTACAACACCTTACCTTTATAATACCTCACCTTTTCTCTCCCCCCCCTCCTTCCCTCACTCTTTCTCATATCACTAATAAAACATATTTCAGCACTGAGTGAATTCTTAACCAACATAAATGTGGAAGATACGTTGGCAAATCCCTGTGGCAATGGAAACCTATTTTAATCATAGGAAATAGCACGTGTGAAAGTTCTAGGTCACTCCACACTAGGTAGTCAGTCTTCCAACTTTGTGTTTCTAAGTATACACTTATCCCATACAATAACCTTAAGAATATTTCTGTATTACCTGATTTTAATAGTTTAGTACAGTAATCTGGGACTAAAAAAGTTTCCAATGTCGGTTGGTTTATAGACATTATACATGTACTGCTAGTTTTCTTAGTTTGCTAGCTATGTAACCCATAGTTCATTATTGCTATCTTAGCTAAGATTCTTGTTTCATATCCTACTCTGGATGTCAGCAAAGGTGTGTTCCAAGACAAAAGGCCCTGCAGTATAAATGATGTGGGAAGTATGTTTTCCATAAACATTTCTCTTTATTGCTCCAGATAGTTGCTATTTCAAAGAAAAGCAGGAAATAAACTGTGAAGGCTGAATTTTTTATATCCTTTCTGACTAAAATAGCAAGCAGCACTGGTTTATTTTATTCCATCATTCTGCTTATGTTGTCTATGCAGGTTCTGCCTGCAAGATCATGATTTGGATAATTTTCCTTATTTAAAAATACACATTGCTGCAGTACATTTAAGATTTTTTCCACATCATGGACTGCACTGATTTTGCTGATTTTTCAAGGAGTTGTGCTTGAAAAGCAAGATGGCCATATTTATCATTGTGAAGGTTTAATGCATCCATTGTGCTGCTATTGTGGGAAAAGAATGGCAGGTAGAGAATCATGCTGTCAAAAAATACCATTTTTGCTGCCAAACTGAAACTCCAATAGTAGTTAAATTCTGTATAGACTTTTATATAGCTTTGGTAGTGATCGTTGAGAATCCACAGTTTCATCAGTCAAATGCCTTAGAAGTTTAATCAGATGTGGGACTAATATCCCCAGGTGTTTTGTTTTGTTTTTATTATGCCACTGGGAAAAGCAATATTGGTGTTAGTCTGCCACTTTATTTGGAAATGTACTTCCAAGCCAAGTCCTGGCCTTCCTTCTAAGGCTTTTGCAGCCCCTCAAAGCAGCTGAAGTGGTAGTTTGACTGGGGTTCTGGGAACAGGCTGCTTGAGTGATAGGAGACAGCTCTGAAGAGTTTGTGATCTTGTCAAAAAAATAAAAATAATCCAAAACAGTATTTCAGTCTTGTGAAAGTATTCTGCCAGTTGAAAAGGTCAGGTTATGGAATAATTAAGATTAGGCATCTTCATAGACTGTGTTTCTCCTCATTATTGCTAAAAGTAAACTTCTCTCAGGAAAGATGCTGGAGCAAAGATGTTCCTATTTCAGGATGATGGTAGTGTGATGTGTCACACAAAAAATATCTTCTTTCAAGATGAGGCTCCCAAGAAGGGTTCAAGGAAGAAAAACTTCCTTGAGCTAAAACATTTAAAGTCTGAAACAACAGCACAGGTGGAAGTATGGAACAAATGAAACATCACTTGAAGCAAAGAAAATGTAGCCTGTGGTGGGTGTTCAACAATTAGATTATTAAAAGCTTTTTGCCAAATAACTTGTTGGTTGTTCAGATCAATTATGTAGCATTAAACTCATCAACTCTCTAATCCTATTCCCAATTTCTTGTGAGAAACACTCTCTGCTGACATTACTCCTGTATCTTTTATGAACAGTTTGCCATATTTAACGGGACAAAATGTTTTTGGTGGACATGGAGGCAAATAGAGAAAAGTGTTAAATTGTTTAGCTTTAAAAAGTCAAAGGTTCACTTGAATCAACTTTGAATCCTGCTAATTGCAACACTGCAGTTTTCTTGGCAGTTTTATGGAAGTGGTTTGCTTGCTACTGTTTCCTTTTCAGATGTTTTTCTCAGCTGGGTATTCCCAGTTGATCTCCCATCCAAATACTAATTAGAACCAGCCTTGTTTAGCTTTGTAATATTGGCCAAGGTTAGCTAGGAATTGTGGCTAAAAGCAAAACCACAAAGCCATGACCTGAATGACTGAGAATCTCCATAGACACAAACCAGGAAGAAAACGTGATTTGTTATCTCCTTTTTAGTTTGTTAGGACTCCACTTATTAAAATGAGTGGCAAAAGCCTTCTGAGTTTCTAGCCTGGCATCCTCATCATCTTTTCTTAAGTTCCATATTATTTCAAAATCCTCTCTCATCGTCTTTGTCAATATTGGACAATGCCATTTGTCCCCCTGTTGCTTTTGTGAAATTTAGATCTAGAACTACCATCTCCCTTTACCTCAGCCACAT